TCAAATGTTTTCTACTGTTGCACTGAATAACCCCTAGAAGTTTGATCCCATAGTTCTGAAACACCCTGTATATATATATATCGAATATATACATGTATATATATATATATATATATATATATATATATATATATATATATATATATATAAATAACAAAATAGCTCGCTCGTGAAAAGTTAGTTTCGTATTTTAGTTTACAAAATATTTATTAATTTCGCATTTTAGTTTGCGAAATATTTTGTAGCGCAATTAAATTAATTTTTAATTGTATTCAACAATATGATTAAACATTCAAATGTTTTTACACGCACATTTCTCACGAGAGTGAGATAAATAGTTAATACGACTTTAGTTGAGAGGCGGTAAACACGTAGTTTCTTTTTTTTTATTTTATTTTATTTTATTTTATTTTTGTTCTCGTACAATAAGTTGCGCGATGAATCTGTTGTCTCCGAGGAGAAAGAGAGCAGAGATCTCTCGGCGGTGTATAACCCAAGAATAATAATAACTACCGCGGGGGAAAAAGAAAGAGGATAAAAGAAAGCGGCGGAGCTCCAATTGTTTCCTACAATTCCGGAAAGCGGAAAGAAACCGCGGAGCGGGAGAAAAATTCAGCCGCCGTGCCGTGGATGCGGTTTAACCGCGCATCCTGGAAACCGTATGCGCGCTTAGAATCGACGCTGACGTTTCCGTGCTTTCTCGCGGATAACGCATACAACTTTGCGCGGACGCTTTCCAACTGCGAACGCGCGGTCGAAACTTCCACGTTCACGTGCACGCGTGTGTGCGTTTGCTCTTGACTTATTCCGGTTAAATTAAAATGAGCGCGTACGCGGAGAGAGAAAAGCGTTTTTCTACGTGCTGCCGAAAAAGCCATCGGCCGCAAAGAACAAACGAGAAGAGTGAATAGACTTGATGTAGTTTGTGCCGGTGATTGCCTGTCGCAAACACACGATTTTCGTTTCTCAATCTCGCGTCCTCGCTTTTCGCGATTCAAAATATTGAAACCGAAATTTCGTAAATAACATTTTGTGAACAAAAAATGCTGTCTTTTAACACGTTAAGCGTCGTGTCAGTCATCGATGACTAACAACTATGAACTTTCCGTTTAGGCCGCGTCAGCCGCTTGTGACTGACAATATATTGGTAAATAAGTTGGAGGTTGCGTGACGTAAACTAAAACGTAAACAGACAATAAGTTCGGCGATTAACACGTTGACCGCCGTGTCACCCGTGTTCAGGTGACATCAAAAATCCTGATTAGGCCGCGTCACCCCGTACTCGGGTGACGCTTATTTGAATGCTTTTTACAAGGTAGATTGATAGGTATTTCGAAAGTTATTTCAACAAAATATGAGACGATTGAATTGTCATAAACGTTTATTAAAAAAAAAAAATTATTTCAATGGAATGTTTCTTTCTTCCTCAATAACCAATTCTTGTAAAATATCAGAAATAGTATAACATCGCGCGTGGTGGCCTGAAGAAGATTTTCTTACAAAGTAGCGTGGCAGTCAACGTGTTAAACGTGTTAAATAAATTTGTTTACGTTTTTGTAATTTTATATTTGTAATTTAGAAAGCGCGCGCGCGCGCGAACAAATATATCTTCTAAACTCCGCTATTATTCTCTAAGAACATTATTTTCCGGTAGAGATTTTCACAGCGCAATTAAACGAATGCGCATTCTCCGTATATTTTCAATCAGCGCGAATCTGAAGCGAGAGAGAGAGAGAGAAAGAGTTTTGTAAACATTTGGAATCATCCTCTTACCGCGAACCGGCAGCGCGCGCATTGTCAGATTAAATGAGCACGCCGCAATTTTGCCGATGGACCAGTAGCCATCGCGCGCGACCAGGATTTTTCCAGGAGGACTCGACTGCGTCGAGTAACACGCCGCGGCGGCGGCGGCGGTGTGCGGCAGGAGGGATTTCGACGGTTCGTAATCGCGAGATTTACGGGCGCGCGAGAGTAACGGGCCGAACGAACAGATAAACGAGCGAAGTTCTCAGACGAGCGCGAATAAACGCGCGCGCGTCCTCTTTCATAAAACACACTCCCGGCATTCGTCTACGACCCCGTGCGAATGCTACGCGCGAAAAAATGTTCGGCTTGTGTGGGAGAACGGGGGGAGAGAGAGAGAAGTTTCAATCGAGCGTCTCTCGATAAAAGAGGCAGAGACGAATTGAACGGGAATTGGAACGGGTCTCTGGATCGTCTCTTTCTCTCCCTCCCTATCTTCCTCTCCCCTCCGTTTTGCTGCGACTATTTTTGCGGTGCGCGCATATGCGACCGCGCTTCTTTGCGTCGCACGGAGAGACAGTCAAAGAAACGATAGGGGGAGAGAGATCAAAATTTTCTCTCTTCTTACGAACGATATCGGAACGATGACATAATAAAATATATGAAACAAAGGCACTTGAATGCAA